ATCACCTTTTCCATCCAATATCAAAAAAAGGAACGTTTTCGGATCGCTCGGGAGCAAGAGCGAAAACACCCACTCTATGGCACCCAAGCTTAAAAGAAGGCAAGAACGACCGAATGACATAAGAAGTAAAAGAATAAGATAAAACGGCCACAAGAAAGAATTGTGATAACGATGTATACCTTGATTCCTTGATGCATTAGAAGAGTGAGAGTCTCACCACTCTGCTTCTAAAGCAAAAAGACGCCTAAGCATGGAAGAAGAAATTCCTCTATGTTAATATGATGTATTGAATATATTGAATTATTACTAAATATAGACAAGTCTATTTAATACTAATTCTAAGAGGTCCAGCCTGTTAAAAGGATTTTGAGATAGTAGTCTTAAATCAGCTAAGGATTAGGATTTAGGCAAAATTCTAAACGCAACTAAGGATATACTAACAAATGCTTACAACTTAAGGATTGTGGATAATCTAATTCCAAATCTACTAAGATTGACCAAATCTAACAACCAAGGCTAAAATAACCAAGGGTGGCCCGAATTATAGGTAGGCCGTACAAGTTTGGCCGAACCCATTAACGAAAAGCGAAAAACTCAAAATAAACTAACTAAGTATTTTAAGAGGTAGTGTGCGGGGCTGGTCCTGTGGGCGTGTTCAGGATCCGCTACGGGGCAGGTGGCTGTCAATGTAAGTAGGCTCCTTCGCGAAAGAGGGCAGAGGCGTGCACGTCTGAGGGCGTTCTAGTGCGTTCACGAGGCGTAGGGCTTTCAATGATAGATTTTCCTTCGCGAGAGGGCAGTGGGACGTTGCACGGTCTGGGGCGTGGCCAATGCGCACAGGGAGCGTGCTTCGGAATGTAAAACCCTCCCTACGCGAGAAGTGCAGAGTTTGGCACGGCCTGGGGCGTGCCACCAATGCACGGCCGTGCTAACATAGCACGGTCCTGGGCTGCCATGGCTGGAGAATTTCTAGATTCGCATCTCAACAGGTTGCTTCCATTAATGTGAGAAACCTTGAGGTGTTCTTCCATGCTGTGACCTTGAGGATCTATGGTTGAATGGTAGTGATTCCGTATTATTCTCTGGATCCTTCCTCGACAAAGATTCTTCCTCGAAGGTCTTAATTAGTAAGGTTGATGGTAGTCCATGTCTCTTGATCTTCATGGTTACTCGCATATTTCGGTTTGAGATGACTTCTTGTAAAATTGAGTCCGCACTAGGTAGCACTATTGGATTTTTTCATATTGTTCTCGCCTTGCTCCCTTGAAGTTCCATGGATGAGTGATACGGCGGATTCGTATCACACTAGATTCATGATGGAATTTGGATTTTTGAAGATAACAAGATGATTGTTAAATGATGCGTCCCTTATGGAACGAAATCACTGAAAATTGCTAATCTAAGAAAAGAAAAAAAATTGGAACTACTAGATCCTAGAGGTAGAAGAACAATATGGAGAGAAAAAAAGGCAAAGTGTAATTGATCCACTAGGTAGCACTAATGGATTTTTCATATTGTTCTCCTTGCTCCCTTGAGTTCCATGGATGAGTGATGGCGGATTCGTATCAAAACAGATTCATGAGGAATTTGGATTTGAAGATAACAAGATATTGTATAAATGATGTCTCTTATGAACGAAATCACTGAAATCTAATCTAAAAAAAAAAAAAAAATTGGAGCTACTAGATCTAGAGGTAGAAGAAACAATATAGGAGAGAAAAAAAGCAAAGAAAAATAACGCTTGCAATTGATGATGATAATAACACGTAGTCTTTTGTTCCCGGTTCACTCGCTTTTAGAGAGTTTGAAGTATACTTGCTCCTTTGCTAGTACGCAGAGGATATAATGATATTAAAATTGTAACTTTTAAGAGTATAATAGGTCAAAATTAAAGTACAAGGTCCTACAATATTTTTTTATCAAAGTTTAGAGATGAATTTATATATTCAACCAATAATTATTCAATAATCATTGTATGGAAAAATAATTAAAATTGATTTCTAAATAATAGTCAAATTAACATATAAAGACTTTTGTTTTTTTAAAAACCAAACTATAAAATCTTTAATATATGATTCCGTGACACTTTAGTCTTTCTATCCAAAATATCTTCTTTTGACTATCAATTAACGAGAAATTAGTTCTTAAATTATATTTAAACTAAATATGAGATCTCTAACTTATAGTTTCCATTAACACTTTGATCCCTTTGTTTTAATGCCTCTACTCTTTGGATCGAAGATGTTAATAAAATCATAATTTAGGAAGCTCACAGTTAAGTTTTGAAAAATAAATAGTTTTTATGTGTTAATTTAATTATAGTTTAGGAGTTAATTTATTTTTTTTACAATATTATATTTATCATTAAATAGTTCCAATGTGTAAATAAGCATTTTATTGAATCAACGAATAACTCTTATAGATAATATGGGAATTGGATTATAGTCTAGCAGTAAAACACTCATGTTTTTATATGAGTGATTCGTGTTAAAGTTTCGGCTTATCAGCTCATCTACTATAACTATTCGTGTTAATTACTAGACAGGGATGCATATGTATTCTCCAATTTACAATCTTGACATGTATTCTACTCTTGATTTCAACTCTCCTTGAACTAAGACTAGTCCCCAGTCTAGCTCTTATCAATAAGGACAATTTGGACTGAAACAGCACCAGAGATTGTGAAAAATTGATTCGGAATCAAACTGAACTAGATCGGTTCAAATTTGGTTTGATTATTCCGAACTAAAGAATTTTTTTTGGGCGTAAAAATCAATTTCATTCGCTGTGCAAAGAACTGAATTGAAAACTGAAAATCATTCAGTTTTATTTTTTTAACCGATCAGTAATCGATCTCTAAAAATTCTGACCAAATCAAATCAAAAATAATTGTTTCAGTTTGATTATTCTGTCCGTACCGCATACTGCTCACGCCTGGTTAGAGGTGCTGTTGTAACCTGTTCTTCTCACGTCGCATTAAAATAAATGAACATATAAAAAAAACAAAAAAAAGAAGCTAAGAGTTGTACTAAGAAACTTTTTAGCAGCTCCAGGTATGAATATATAGATAGGGCAATGTTCTTGTAGGGAGCCCACATGGCTTTTATATAGGTTTTTCAGTTTTTTGGAATAAATAAATGCAGCTGTTCCACTTTCTGGTCTGACCGATTTCAGCCGGTTTGAGTACGATAACAGTAATAATTAAGTCCTAATTTCAACTAAGTATTTCACTTACTTTTAGTAACAATAAAAATAAATAAATAAATAATGTTAATACTGCGCGTCGAATTAGGTTTTGCAAACCAGCCACATCTAATAGCCAACAGAGGTGAAATAAAAATAGCAAAAAAAATAAAAAAAATAAAAAAAATAAAAATAAAAATAAAAACCCAAAGGTCCTTCCTCTGTGCATAATAAGATGTACTGTTAAAAGATCGATAAAATCTTTGGCAGCACGTACGGTAATCAGAACCATACATTATGTAAATTTAAATACTTCTGCCAAATTTTACATGAACTTCGAGACGGGCCAACCCTACCATCCTCCTAATGACCTTTTAGTCATGGTTTTAAAACCTCACTCCCTCCTTGTTCTAATTACTACACAATTAAATGGACTGCCTTACGTGAACTTTGTAATTCCTATGTCTTCTGTTGAATACCATAGTATCTCTGTATTTATACCAAAAGATGATAAATGAATTTAATCATGCTTTATTGATCAGGATTTGAGCTTGGAGGAGAATCTCCAACTTTTATTTGTAATTGATATTAATTGCCAGGTTTTTTTCATTTAGCATTTTCCGATCCTATATTGAGTATATTGAAAAAGCCTGCTGACTTTGACATTTTAAGTTTGTTCGATAAAAACTTTTTTTATCAGCAATATATTTTTATTTTATTAATTTATATTCAGGAAAAATTTATTATTTTTAAGCTTTTAAATTGAACCATCACGTTCTTCAGATATAACCAATCTAACTCAAAAATATTAAGTAAAGAAAAACCTAAAAACCTCAACTTACGTAAGATTCATTTCTTTTTGAGATAAAAAGATAAAAAAAAAAAAAATCAAAATCACAATATTGAAATAGCCTAAAAAATCAAAACCAAGCTAAAAAATCATTAAATAATTCAACAACCTTTCTGGTTAAAGAATCTGCAAAGCTATTTTGTTTTCTAAAAACAAGCTAAAATTGAAGCATAATCGGTAAAATTATGTTGTTCTACTTAGTTATATATAGTTGTCAGCTGTTTGACTAACATTTTATTAAAACTTTAAAAAGACTAACGTTTTATAATCGGCTCTCTCAAACTCTTGAACATTGTAAATAATAGAAATAATGTTTTAACCTTAACCAAAACACTAAATACTACTTTAAAATATATTGTTGAACCGGGCCTTTGTGTAAAAAAAAAATTTTGAATTTTAGAATTTCAATTTAGATATCTTCCAGTTAAATTTGAACATTAGAAAAATAAAAGAAAGAATTGCACAATATTAAAAAAGAGTAAAAACAACATCAAAATCAAACATTGCCATTAACAATCAATAAGGCTGCCTACAAAGATACTGTAATCTTTCTTCTTGCCATTATTTTCATATGATAATTTGGTATTACCTGCTACTTTTAGTTAATACCCATTTTATCATTGCAAGTAACAACAGTAAAAATAGCAATAACAATAAATACTTTATTAGCTTGCAATTAATATTACAGAATAATCTAAACCAAAGAGCTTATTCTAGGCATTAAAAAAGAAAAAAAAAAAAAAAAACAGTTAAACCACAACCCATTTGATTTATTCAGTCTATTTTTTTATTTAATTTTTTCCCTTCCCCATTGGCTAATTAAGATCCAAATACGGTACTAACATACACATACATATATTTCTCTACTCAATAAGAATAATATAAGGATGAGTTGCTGCAGGAATAGTAAGGGCTCCACTGCAATTTTTTTTCTTATTTATTTTTCCTTGTGTACTTTTCCTTCCCCTTAGCGTCTTCTTGCAGCAGTTTCTCTCTGAGCATTAAAGAAGACAGCAGCAACAGGCAGGCCAAGTTCATTTTCTTCTGCAAATTTTCTTGTATTAAATTTATCTCTTGATGTTGGTGTGTTCACCATTTGCCTTCTTTTCTGCTTGAAAAGAATAAACACAAACCTATGGATCCCTATATTTGGCCTTGGCATTTCATAGCTCACCACTTCTTTGCCTGCAATTTTTTTTAATTATAAATAATCTATCATTTCAAATAAAACCCATAAAATAATTATTTATCTTCTCTCTCTGTTTGTGTGTATTGTATATCCATATATGTGTAGTGAAGCTTACCAAATGTGGCATCTGTTGTTCCTGGGATGTCTGTCACTATCCTGTAAAATGGTCAAATCAAGTTCAGTCCTTCAGAGAATATAAGTTGCTAAATATGCATATATTAATATGTACTTTCCCTACTATGTTTGTTTCTCTACTTTCTTAAGTTTTATGAAAATTTGGAAATGCTAAAATCAATTATGCTTTCTATTTTTGCCATAATTGTACTTGCAATATATATCAATAAACTCATTTTCTTCTTTTTCCTCTTCTTTTTCCATGATCTTTCATTTTCATTTAGAGAGAGAGAGAGAAAAAAAATTCACTAGATAATTTGTGGGTGTGTGTTTATGTGTAGATTAAAAAAGAAAAAACACACACTAGTAATAATACCAGTGCAAGTGCTCCCTCTGGTATGGATCACTTGGTCCAGGCACATCTGGGTCTGTCATGACCTGAAATGAAAGTGGTAAGATAAATCCATTATATATATATATACACACACACACAGACAGAGATAATATCAAGAGGAGAACTATATAGAATAATAAATTAATATGAGTTTGATTTAGTTACCAGAGTGAAAAAGGATCTCATATCAGCTCCTTGCACTTCCACTTTAGGTTTATGAGTTACAGCAGAAGGGAAAAGCTCATGACCATTATAAACTTGCTTGTTGGAGTTATAAGAAACAGTCATTTTCATACATGGTGTGAAATAATCAATCACATCTCCAATAACTCTTCCAACCACAAGAGGATCTGACACTTTTGCCATATAAAGACTACCCAAGAAACACTGTAACTTAGTTGGTAGAGATATAAGAGAGAGAGAGAGAGAGAGAGACAGAGAAAGAAAAAGAAAGAGATAAGGATGACAATGTAATTTTGGGACTGGAATAAGCTAATTATTATTTTCTTGTTTGCTGTGGAAAATGTCTATAGGATATTTCTTGCAAGGCAAAGAGAGTGGAACCCCCTTATTTATAGTGTTGATTAGCCCTAGCTACTGAACCCACTGTATATTAGGATTGGAGGGGTTTCTTACAAGAGTCAATAAATACATCATTGGTGTTTTGGTTGTCTACTGTGGGAATGTTCTTTGGCTGGGACCTATTGGACTTTCTTAGTCCTTGATGAATAGTAAGCTATTTGAATTACAATTTATATAATGAATATAAATTTTTAGAAAATTCACTGTGAATTTAATATATTGAGTCTGATGAGTATAATGACTGAGGTAAATGGGTATCATAAGACAATTTATTTAAATTCTTAAAAAAAAAAAAGACAATTTATTTGTATTTTTATGTTTGTTTTGGTTGATAGGAGATGAAATAGGAAGGATTTTGTACACAATTTTTATGGGATTGACTTGCTCAAATATTACTATTTGGATTGGTTTAGTTTATGGATTGTCCTACAAATCGAGTTTGGACAATCTTTTATTTAATATTAATAAAAGGACGCACATTAAAATTATAAATAATGGTAATATGCTCCCTAAATTTGAGTCTGATTTTAAAAACTCAAAAATCAACCTTTTTTTTATTAGTATTTCAATTTTTGATGACAAATTAACTTATTTAACAAGTACTCTCTCTCTCTTTTTCTTTCCATCCTTCCCTTTTCCTTCTTTTGTTGACCAATTTGCAGTTTTTTGATTTATAACACATAATTTTGAAAATCCTATCGCATAGCCCATATTGACATACTAATTTTGCCTCTCCTCTTCCTCTTGATTCTCCTTTATTTCTTGCTTCACCGGAATTACAATTGACCAAACAAATTCATGCTTCGGTTCAACTACAGAACCCTAAATCCTATCACGAGATACAACCTTAACCTAAATCCAATACCTTCATCATTCCTTAACACTGAGAGATTTTGTTGATTTTGGGGTTCAGATTAGCGGAGACCTTTGGTGGAATTATTAATATTAACTACTCTCTCTGTCCCATTTTATTTGCTTGTCATTCCTTTTTTGGATGTTACAAAATATTTGCAATGTTTCTAAATTTATATATTTAAATAATTATTTTTTCAATAATAATCCTTATGATTGTTCATTAAATGAAATACTTTTATTAATATCTTAATGAGTTAAGGGTAAAAAGGGGCAAAATATTTGGTTGATTAAATTCTTAATATGCGTGTTTTGTCAAATCATGTAAACAAAGTGGGATGGAAGGAGAGTATTTCTTTTGGACAAAGGAAAGCTAAGGGGAAATTTTAAATTGGAGTTCAAGTTGCTTATAGTTCACTTTGTAGGATTATGTCTAGGGTTGGACAGAACCAACCAAACTCTATGGATTTGATTTCAAAATTCTTTAGTTCAGTTTCGATTCGTATTGAAAAAGTTAAAAAAAAAAATATTAGTTTGATAACTCTTAGAAACTACAGAAAAATCAAAAATTGAATTGAATCAATTTAAATTAAACTGATTTGGTTCAAATCAGTTTGGTTCTAAACATAATTTTAGTTTGATGAGATTTCTTTTTTTTTTTTTTTTAAATTGATTTATAAAAAATTTAGACTTATTCAATTTAATTTGACTCAAATTAACTAATTGGATGTGCACCCCTAATTAATTAGTCTAATAGTTATAAATATGGGAAAGCTAAAACTTAAAGAATGGTAATTTGGAGATGCACACATTATTTAGAGGAAAATATTGAGAAATCTATATTGGAATAAAGTAAGATGATTAGACGTGCATTTCTCTCTTTCTCACTTTGTGGTGCTTATTCTTTAATATTTATGCATCACAATTACACCGCCAAATGACCGGCTTTTATACTAGAATTGGGGGAGAAAGCTACAAAGTTTTTTTTAAAAAAAAAGTTCAGTCCAATTAAATTTCAGATTAGCATCTAATTTATTAATTATATTTATAGTGTAAACTTTTTTTTTTTTTATTTTGGTGCAGTTTGAACAAAAAAAATACCCAAACTACTAAAAATTTAGAATCAAATGCATTTAGCTAAATTATTTCACCAGAAATTTAAAATAAAATATTTTTACTCAATATTTATCATGGGGATCAGACGACATCTACCCCTCAAGTGCCTACCACTATCACAAACTATGAGCCTTTTGATAAAATTGATTGTTTTAGTAGCCGTTAGTTGTTCTAATAATGTTTAACTATTAGTTGTTATTTATGTAATTTTTCATAAAACGTAAAAAGTTAAATGTTAAATGAGTTCAATTTTTATAAAACGTTACCTTAACTTTTAAAAGCTCGTTTGAAACGATATGTTATCAAATACTATAAAAAATAGTGATTAGTATTTTGATTGGTCAAAATACTAAAAGATACTTAAAAAACTATTGCCGAACACAGCCTATATTATAGCATGGCCATGCGTTCAACTACCAAAATAATTAGTTCTCATTTGTCAATAATCTAGTGCAAAGTGATATTATAGGTTGGATTTTTAAAATTATAACCAAATTTATTTTATTATTAGAAAGCATATGTTTGTATCGAAATTAAGCTTTTTCCCTTGTCTAATCTCAATAATTTAAATTTATACAATAATACAATTTAACGAATACATGAATTTTGCGAATTGTCATAAACAATACGCGATTCAAAATATTTTTGCATTCTAATATGATTAGTTAAATTATAAGTTTTCCTAATTTTGTCTCAATAATTCCAACAATATAAAGAGTTTTTGAAGAGGGATAATATATAATTGATTTCCACAAAAAACTATCAACATCACAAGCATTTTTTATATGTGTTGTATTTTATGGAACAAAAGCCTCTAGCTATTATGGTTGTCACACTGTAATTCGCTGAAACCATATTTTAAGAATGAAGTGCGATTCTTAATTGAAGCAACCATGGAGGGAAAGAAAAAAAAAAAAAAAAAAAAAGAGTAAAAAATGGAAGATAACTAAGAATTTTATATGCTTAATCTCCTCCATCGCTTCTTTTCTTCAATTGCTCTGGTATAGATTCATTTAGATAGCTTGATAATGCAAAAGGTTTCCTTTGGAAAAACCATACCAAAATCTTGAATGAGTTGAAAATTGAAATTGAAAGAAATTTTTACCGATTAAAAAACTACCACAGTTGTTACTATTGTTGTAGTTCTTTATCTAATGAGAGTAGAAAATTATGTACTAAGGCATAATATAGTCGTGGTAAGTATATATACGATCTGACAATTGATCTAGGTTTGAATCTCATTGACTCGTTGATCAAAAAAAAAAAAAAAAAAAGTTTGACTCGTTTGAATCAAAAAAAAAACAAAACACAAAGAGCTAGCAATAAAAAAAAAAAAAAAAAAAAAGAGTAGCAAATATATACATATATATATAAACAATTTTGTGAACTTAATCTCTAATTGCAACAACACAAAAATTTAGGCGATACCACTTTTAGACTTTTGTTTTAGATTAATTTGACTCTGAACGAAATTCGAATTCCATTCTTGTAGTCATTAGATTAACCCAGTTCCGCCACTTGCAAATCTATGATATTTAACATAAAGAATTTGTGCATATCCTGCTAAGACATTCTCAAGCTAGGAACTACAATAAACATGGGCTTTCATATTAAAGGTGTAAAACAAGCAGAAATTCCTGAAATGGGTGTTGTTAGAACCTTTCCAAATTTGGCCATTCACTTAGGAACATACTACATGTGGAAAATATTTTTCATCAAAAGAATAAAAACAACAGAGCTTGGGGCATAAAGCAAAATTCCACCTCCATAATCCCACAAAGTGAGACTGCTATTGCTTTGTGGTCATTTCATGTAAAGAGATTCAATTGGAGTCACTTCTATTCTATATTTGGTAAATGGAAAAAGAATTTGAACTTTCTATAAATGGAAACTCAAACAATTCCTTTTCTCTATTTTGCTATATTTGATGCAATTGATAATTTATATAATTTGTCTTTTTATTTTCTTCTCTTTTTGGTGTCTAGCTAGCAGCTTTTCCAATATTACGTTCTTTTTCCTTTCAGTTTTTGCGCACACATCAGGTTTGTTTCACATTATTGTTCAACTTCAAAAGCCAATTCATGCTTTTGGAATATTTTGTTCTATTGGTGAGGAAGTGAGTGCTTTGCTGGGATTACCAAAACAAGACTATATGATTCTCCGTTTGCTATATATATTTCCTGATGCTGAATTGTGCACATTCATTACATGGATTTTAGACTAGGCTTTTTTTCTTTTTCAATGCCTAGATTTTATTATTTGTATCATTGAGCATTTATATATCTTCCATTGTAGAATGTTAGGGGCATTTAAACCCTTAATTCGAAGAAATGCAACTCTGTATATGAGGAGAAAAACAAATTCTTTCCAATGTTTTAATTCTGTAATTTTCTCACTTCAAACTTTCCAAGGTTTGAATTCTTAATTACTATATCTTATAGCATTATAAAGTAAGTAGGCTTATTCGTGGATTGGTTTGGTTCAGTTTGACACAATAGTGGAATGAAATCTAAAGTAGTGCTTTAAAAATATTAAAATAAAACCAAACTATTAAAATTTTAAATCAAACCAAACCTTTAGCAGCGGTTTGGTTTGGTTTAGTTTGACAGTTTAGGCTGTTTGAAATAAAAAAAATTATATTTTCTCATTCATCTAGTTAACAAGAAAAAAAAAACATTCTACTAAATATGGAAAATGAATTAATAAAAATTATGCCATAAAATATACATAATATTAAATAGCTATTAAAAGCTCTTAAATTAATTTTTTATATGTTCATTCTTAGTATAGTATAAGACATGTTATATATTTAGTAACACATTAATTAAACAATTTATAAATACAAAATTTAAATATTGCTTTACTTTTACATTTATTACTAAAAATTATAAAAAAAACTATAGTTATACTCGCGTATAATTTGTACGTATATATTAATCTAATTTTATATGAATCTTTAACATTTGAATCTTTTATAAATAATTACATAATGTATCTAATTAATAAAAAATAATGTTCAATTATTATCCAATATAAATTAATCACATAATTTACTATCGAATATAAATTAATCAATGCAAATGAATCTTTCAATCAAAAAAGTTAAATTAAACTTAGAAGTTCAAATATATGTATATCGATATGATTCGGTTGGACGGTTTGACTCCAAAACAGTAAGCCGAACTAAAAGCCTGATTATTAAAATTTACAAATCAAACCAAATGATAATATTTTAAAACTGCGGTTTTGAATCGATTTAGGTTGAATGAAATTGATTTGAATAGTTTAAGCGGTTTGATTAAGACCCCTAAAAAGTAAGTTATCTTTGAGTGACGATAAACAATTTAATCATTAGAAGAGATTCATTCTTTTGCATATCAAATATACGTATTCTTATTTTTCATAATATTTTCCTGATAAATTATGATTACTTAGTCATACAGTTTATATTAATGTTTAAAAAAATAATATAATCAAAGCAGACTAATAATGGTAGCAAGGCCTGCCTTTGGATAGAGAGGGAATCTTTGAAATTGTGAAAGTTTTTATTCCTTTCTGTTAATTAAGTACTTGAAGTGCCTGTGAAATGCTTTTGGCGCCCTACAAGAATAAGAAACTTCTAATCACTTTCATTTGGGAAAAAAATATATAAAAATAAAAAAGAGCGATCAGATTAGTTTGTATTAATGTATTTCTAGAACTAGAAAAGGCATTTTTACAATTGGAGCTTGCATATAATTTATTATTATTATTATTATTATTATATGGGTGAAAAAAGAAACTAGAGTTGGAGCGAAATGCAATTCCTGAATCTTGGGGAATAAAATGTGAATTTTGAATTTTGAAAGGAGTAAAACATAATTTTTTCTATTAAGAAATATATATATTTTGAGTGAACCCCAAAGCTCCAGCGGCTTTTGCCCCATCTATGTATAAAAAAAGTCTAGGATTCCTAGAACTAGATTGCTGAGTAGGATTGTTGGAATTAAATAGTTCCTTTCTTTTAGTTTTTTATTGATTGTAATTAGTTTAAATAAATGATTATCATCGATAAATTATCATTTAAAATTATTAATAAATATTTGACTAAATATTTATATTTGAAATTAATTTAAACAAATATTTAGCACAATAAAAACTACTCATATGTAAATAATTATACATTGAAAATTTATTATTTTTATATAATTCTTTAAAATTTTACGTTTTAAGTATTATATTATATTAAATACTTTAAATTTATATTCTAAATATTATTTTTATATTTCACGTTATGACTCTCACAATTGATATATATATATAGTTTTTATTAAATGGTGATAAATAGGATTACTAGAAATAGGTAGTGCCAAAACAAGATTACTGCAGTATGGTAGTCCTTGTCGGTAGCCGAGCCCTGATAGGTGTTATTTTTTAATATTTTTAATATAGTTTTTATTAGAATTTTTAGTATTTTTAATTACTTTAATTAACTTTTATTTTATTTTATTTGTGTTTTTGTTCAAAGCTTCCTTGAATTATAATTCACTTGATTTTAAGGAAATTTGTAGGGTTTCGGCAGAAAAAAAGCAAAATAAAGCAAAACACTCAGGCTTTAGCACGCCCTGCCCGTGCAAATCAGCATATCCGTGCTGGATTCAAGAAAAAATCAAGTGGAGACTCAGACTCTAGCATGTCCAAGCCGTGTTATATGGCACGCCCGTGCCAAAAGAGGACATCAATCCAAAGGAATGCTTGCCTAAGCACGGCCCGTGCTGCATTTCATCATGGAGACTTAGAGCCTAGCACCCCCTAGAAGTGCTATGTGACACGCCCTAGAAGTGCTATGTGGCACGCCCGTACCACAAATCCTTACCTAGGCGTGCCCTTAAGCATGACCTATGCTGAACCCTCCGTAGAATCAAGTTTCGGCACACCCAGATCGTGCCTCACAGCACGCCCGTGCTAAAAGTCAAGTGTTGTTTTGAGTCGAAAACGCCAGCCAGTCCCTATCACTTACATGGACCCACCGAGATACTTTCCTGACATGCAAATCAAGTTCTAATCCTATCTAGGCGCATGGAAGAGCCCTAATTGAGAAGAAATTCAAAGCCTAAACAGTTTCTTATTTCCAAAAAGATTTATTACTTAATGAGGACTTTATTTCCTAAACAAAGTCGGATTTTCTCTCAGTAAGTCTATAAAAAGAGAGGAGTCATTCATTGTATAAACATCTCCAGTTTTGATAATTTTTGTTTTATTGTTCTTCTCTCTCTCCAAGACTTCAAGTGTTCAAGATTTGTGTCAAGATTCAAGGAAGCCGTCCAGAATTAACTGTTGACTAGTTTTTATCAGTCATTGTATACAACATCTCCAGTTTTGATAACTTTTTGTTTTTATTGTTCTTGCTCTCTCTCCTAAGACTTCAAGGTGTTCAAGATTTGTGTCAAACTGTCAAGGAAAGCCGCTCCAGAATTTAACTTGTTGACTACGTTTTTACTATCTCCGTAAAACTCTTACAATCATGTTTTGATAGCTCGTTCATTCATCTCTTATACCTTGATATCCACACACACTGGAAATTTTGTATGAAGTATTATTGAGTTTTATTTAATTACTCGTATGTCGAACTAAACTCTGCCATACTAGGGATTTGATGTTGTAACTTAACATTTCTTTTCCCAATTATATAATATATAAATTTGTTTTTCTTTGCAATCTTTCACACGTATAATTCTATTATTAAACTTAATGCTTCTAGGCAGAGTTTCTCCCCTGGCTTGATTGTATTTCATAATCCACTATGAGTCAGAAGGATTCTTTGATTATAAAAAAAAACCAAATAGGAATACTACAATTAATGAGGAATACATAACTTGATGTGGAAGCTATTATGGTTTGACTCATGGGGTTTTCATACGTTAATGACCTTAGGTTCATGAATTCACAAAATTAAAGCCATAAAACTTATATTTAATTCATGTTTAGATTGCAACTATTGCGGGAAGATACGGTAATTAGACCGGGTTTAAAATATGTAAACAAATAGCATCGGGAGAGCTTGTATTGATTTTAGGGTTGTTTCCCCTACTTAAACAATTAAAATTGATTAACGACACTATGAAATAGAATTTGACGCAGACATTAAGCTTGTAAGTTCAAAATCCGTTAGTAGCCTTTTAAATCCTTATTCTTGTTATAACAAAATATGCGGTTGCTTGATCTTTTATTTTCTTTTACTTGTTGAATTTAGATTTCCTTTAAAGTAACTCCCGTTACTTGCCGTTAAATAATATAGTAGGGTCTCAACCATTAAATGTTTGTACTTTGACTATTCTACCAATCCCTATATCGCCGACGACACGCTAATTCCATTCCTACTCATTCTCAGTCATTATTTGTTGCAATTTCGTACACATTGCGCAATATACAATGCTCAACGCCCGTTGTTGGCGCCTTGCGGGGGATGGGGTTACCAATATCATAAGTAATTACCCTAATTATTAATTTAGACATTTCATTTTTTTTAATTTAACTGGATACGTCGTTCCTCCTAGAAGATCCACGCTACTCTCCCCTCTCACGGCCGATTATGTACACACCGGCAAGCATTCACCGCGTAGCCCTGACACCTCCCCTTCCGCGATCTTTCCCGCACGAATTCCTCCCAAGCAAATCCTGCAAAACCCTTGTCGTAGCTGACACCACCCAACAGCGAGCCCTAGACAACGCAAGCACTTGGATACACCACACCCAGCAAGACCCACACGCTTAACCCGCGAACACCACCACCAACTGCGGCACGGATGGACCAACGCTATACATTTCCCCACTCGGAACACAACCCTCACCCACTCCCATATCCAATATTGCTCTCGACCCACCTTCTCGGCCGTCACGCTCCACTCACCACACCTAAGATCACCAGCCTTCTCACCCTGCAACCCTGGCACAGCACACCAACCTCGAGTATCCACTAGACCTCAGGGTGGAAGCTAACAATTTTGAAATTAAAAACTGTGCAATTATCCAAATCTGCTTGCCACCTCAATTTATCACTAGACCTAGGGTGGAAGCTAACAATTTTGAAATTAAACTTGCAATTATCCAAATGCTTTCCACCTCAATTCAATATGGAGGTTTACCTAGCGAAGATCCTAATGCCCATATCACAAATTTCTTAGAGATTTGTGATACTTTCAAACAAAATGGAGTTTCTGAGGATGCTATAAAATTAAGACTCTTTCCTTTCACTCTTAGGGACAAAGCACGATCATGGTTACAATCATGCCCTGCTGGAAGTTTTACAACATGGGAGGAATTAGCCAAAAAATTTTTAGCCAAATTCTTTCCATCTTCAAAGACCACAAACTGCGCAACAAGATAATGACCTTTGTCTACCATGATCAAGAGAGTTTGAATGAAGCTTGGGAGAGATTCAAGGACTTATTAAGAAAGTTCCCACCTCACAGCTTGCCTATGTGGTTGTAGGTATAAACTCTTTATAATGCATTATCTCCTAACATTAAGATTACTCTAGATACAGCTGCAAGTGGATCTTTTAAAAGAAAAGAAATTGATGAGGCGTATGACTTGATAGAAGAGATGGCAAGCAATAGTCATTATCAAAGCAACTCCGAAAGGAAGAAGACTGCAAGAGTTCATGAGATTGATGCCATCACCACACTTAATGCCAAGGTAGACAATATGGTAAGGAAGTTGGACTTATTGACTATTAACTCGGTTAATTCTATTGTGCAAGCTTGTGACAGGTGTAATGGACAACATGGGATTGGAGAATGCATGTTAGATTCTTTAAATCCGCAAACTGCATGTTAGATTCTTTAAATCCGCCTGCATGTTAGATTCTTTAAATCCGCAAACTTTGGAACAAGTAAACTATGTGATGAATCAAGGAAGGAAGAATTACCCATACTCTAACTCTTATGATAACAAGTTGAGGAATCACCCTAATATTTCATATGGGAATCCAAACAATGCCTTGAATGCACCATCAGGTTTTCTACCTCAAGAGAAAAAGTCTCATGATGATCTCCTTACTGCCCTCTCTAAATTGCACATGGACTTCATGAATGAAACCCGAGAAAACAACAAAATCCAATAAGCTGTATAAGAAACTTGGAGATTCAACTAGGGCAGTTTGCAAACATGATGGCCTCCCGACCCCAAGGTACGTTCCTAGTAACACTATAAAAAATCCTAAAGAACAAGTACAAGCTATCACTTTGAGGAGTGGCAAATAGTTGGAGGATCCACCCAGGGTAGAGAAAGAGAAGGATGAGCAGAAAAAAATCCCCATCATTGACCTAGCAGAGAAAGAGGAAGTAAAGCCCTATGTTCCAACTGTTCCTTTCCCACAAAGGTTAAAGAAAACATAAGATGACAAGAGTTTCCTCAAATTTCTTGATGTCTTCAAAAAGCTTCAAATTAACATACCTTTGCTAAAGCCCTTGCTCAAATGCCCAGTTATACAAAATTACCCAAAAGAGATCCTAAGCAAGAAAAGGAAGATTGATGATCAAAGGATGGTAATGTTGACAAAGGAGTGTAGTGCAATCATTCAAAATAAATTGCCTCCAAAATTAAAGGATCCAGGAAGTTTTTCTATCCATTGTAATATTGGAAATCTTGATTTTGAAATCCATTGTTAATATTGGAAATCTTGAGTTGAAAAAAAGCGTTAGCAGATTGTTGCATTTCCTTGAGTTCCAGCAAAGTTTTACGGACGCAATAATTAAACAAGGTGGCGACTCATACATTCACATGCATTTCTACCCTTAGTCACATGCATTCATATGCCTATGTTTTGGGGGAGGGGTTCACAGAATACAGAAGTGAGTAATTTCTATTTATGCTAAACCTAATGTGTAATTAACTCTAAAGATAAGTGTGTAGTAAGATACTTAGAATAATTAATCATACACAGGATTTTCCCTTTCTATGCAAAAGCTTGTAACATACAATAAAAGATTCTTTAATTACATATGGTAAGATATAATTCAACTTCTCAGTATATAATTATACTATCTATTATATGTATTTCTACTTATAATAAAAACCCTATCTCGTTAAATATTAAACCTAATTCTTATTCTTTGATTATTTCAATAAGACAAATTTAAACTTTTTAACGGGAAATAAGTGAAACTTATCATATGTAAATTCAACTCAATGAATTAAATTCTCTTTGATCTTTTACTAGACTATTCCTTTGTGAGAATATTAATTCAGTAACCTTGATTAAACAAAGATCAAAAGATAAAACTAAGGAATTTTTATTGAATGCTACCAACTTTAAATTGTTGCTTTGCATAAGAAGAGGTTATGAAGAACAACATACAACAAGTCTATAAAAGATAGACAAGAAGTAATTCTAACTCAAAGCATCCGGAGGGCGTCACACCTCGAGGAACTTCTTGATTTTTTTGTTTCTTGGCACAATCAATAAACAAGTGACTCTCCGTTCAAACTGTGTTCCTAAGTTAGCTACTAATCACACTTCTCTAAATACAATCTAAATAGTTTCTGCTTTCTGGGAATCTAACTCTCAAAATATGAATCAATTTTTATATTCTCCTTTCTTGCTTCACTTTGATTGCTATTTATAGAGTGAGGAGAGGTTGATTTTGGTGGTTTTGGTGGTGATTGTTGGCCAAAAGTGGCTTGAGGTGACTTCTCTTGGGAAGGATCCTGACCCTCATGGAAGAGTCCTGACCCTTGCATGGAAAGATATGTATTTCTAATGAAAAGGTAGCAATTACGTCTTCTGGAAATCTCGACTCGCGCTCGCGAGGTTAAAGGTGGCGCTCGCGACTTCTGCTTCAAATGTCTCTGCCTCTCAGAAGTGCTTCTCGCGCCCGCGTAGATGGATGTCGCGCTCGCGACTTTTGCTTGCAAACCTTCTGACTCTCAGAAGTGCTTCTCGCGCCCGCGCATGTGAATGTCGGGCTCGTAACTTGTCTTTTCTGGGTGTAGGTTGCGCACACGACCTCAGGTAGTGCTCGCGACTTTGGGCATTTTATTTGTTGCGACTTGCTTTGCGGCGCGAAGGCTGGTTTAAGGATTTCTTCCATTTTTTTCAACTTGGGCCTTCTTTGGTATAAAAAACAAATCTTTTGCTCCAACTGTGTTCCTAAAAAATTACTTTGAACAAAAAACAACACGCAACAAACATAAAATTATATAAAACATCATGCATTTCAAGCAATTTTATATTGAAAATAAATCATAACAAGGATTGCCTTGCTTGCGAGGCTATCAAATTCCCCCACACTTAGCTCTTTGCACTTAGCTCTTTGCTTGTCCCTAAGCAAAATATTCATCCTTCTTTTTGAACTTCATGTTGATCATGTTTGTTTTTATTTGTTGATTTAGACTTCTTAAATAAGCTACCAAAGATAAGAGATTTATGTATTTATGAACAAAGTAGTGTAAATGAATATGACATGTAAAAATTTCAATATAGAAAACAAAAATCTAAAGTATAAGAAATCTAGTCATTTCAAGATATGAGATAGGCAATCCTCCATCCTTAGAATGCAAAGAATAGATAGTACTTTAGATAGCATACATGTATTGTTTCTTACAAGGCAATTTTTTAGGATAATCTTATTTCTATCTCACTAAGTGTTGGCATTTTATGCCTCCATACCACTTCATTGCTTATAATATAATATAGTAATATATATATATTTTTTTTTTTTCTTTTCTTTTTGGTTGCATTTTTATGCTCCATACCACATTTTTTCCTTTTGCTATCTTTTTTGTCTTTTGCTATCATTTTTATTCAAGGTAATCTTTATATATATATATATATATATGTATGTTTTTTTTTCTTTTCTTTTTCTTTTGTGGTTGCATTTTATGCTCCATACCACTTCACTTTGGAACGGATTTTCTGTTATTCCCTCTATCGTATATTTTTCTCTCTTTAACATACCTTCATCCTTTATTGACTTGAAACATACAAGTATTTAATTTCCATTTTCTTCCTATTCTTCATTCAAGTTAGGATTCAAGCTTCTCAAAAACAAAAGATAATGTCTAGATAGTTAACTAAAGATTAAAATTTGCTATTTTAAAATTTCAATATGTCATATGTAATATATTAATACTTAAGTTCATATTAGCATTTAAATCTCTTAAATCATGGTATATTATTCAAGACTTCTATTTCAACAAGCAAAATACAAACAAATCACAAGCAAAATACAAACAAATCAACATGTAGAGATCAAGACATTGAACTAAGGCAAAGAAGTTGACTTTTTTAATTGTCACAATTTTTTTTTTAACTTATATGAAATGAAATGAACTGAGAACTTGTAGGTCTCCCCCACACTTAAAAGACACAATGTCCTCATTGTGGGAGGAGAAATGCAAACAAAACATACGACACATGCATAAACACACAAGAACATTTGAAAATAGAAATGAAAATTAAAAAGGGAGAGAAAAACCTTAGGCCTCCGGAGAACCTGGAGGTGACGGAGTGAATTCGATGTTTTGGTGGTGGAAATATTTCATCCACTTCCGTTCCATCCGATCGTGGTTTTTTTGGATTGTATGCAGTTTTTGTCCCATGTCAAATACGGTGACTTGCAAAGTTTCCTGCGATTGCTGTAATGCTTCCACTTTACCCAACACTTGCTTCCATCTTTGTCTTCCATCCCAGCGACTTTCATCTTCTTTCTTCTTCTGCGTGAGAAGATGATATTGCTGACTGGTGCTTTGCCTTTCCGCGTGGTTTTGCCTTTCCGCTGTCTTTGCATTTGTGCTTCAGAGGTTCCTTCATCGCGATCGCTGTGCCCGACTCTTCTTTCCCATGGCTTCCAACGATAGAGTACTGTGGTGCCTGTTTTCACTTCCTTAACTAAACCTGTCTTTTTTAAGAATGCACCATCCATATACCGAAAAATGTCTATAGGTTGGGGCTGATAAGGTGGAATAGGCATACGAGCAGCATATGCCAAGATAGGTGCCGTACTATCGACTCCTAAAGTAACTTTGCCATGATGACGAGAGACGTTGTATATTGTATCGAGCACCATACCTGCAATATCCACTCGTTTTCCCTGCAAAATAGATTCCAACACAAACAAGTCTCTTGTTTGGACTTTGGAGGCTTCCACTCGTCCAAACAAAGCATAACACAAATATTTATGTAGGTATAAAATACTCTCAACCTTAATCCATTTATTTCCAGCATTCCGAGGAGTAAAAGACGATTGACCCGTCAGCATTTCCCAAACGGAAGATGCATTCCAACCTTTCGATTTAGAAGCACATCCGTTTCTGGGAAATCCTAACCACTGGTGCATTTTATCATAATCCACAGTTAATTCCTCTCCATCCACTCTAAATTTGATGGCCATTTCTGTGTCATCTACCCAATCAATGGTAGTCAATAATTCTAAACTTAATTTAGCACTTTCAGGAATTTGTAATTAACTAA